CGAACCGTGATGCTTAGTTAGAGGAAGATCACGGCACGTGATCTCCGACCTGTTTATCTTGAACTTCAGTTCTAGATCCTGTTGTAGCTCTTCGAGCTACGTCTTGTATATTAGCCTGCCCCTGCCTGTGCCTGTACCTGTCAATGAGAATCTGATCTGTTACGACCTGTCCCTGCCAGTCATCTCCCATCATACCGTCCTGCCAGCCCGCACCCTGACAAGAGATTGTCTATTTTAAAAGGATTTCCTCTTTAAGCTAGGTTAATTTATAGGAGTTAGCGCGAGAATTCGCGCGATGTTAGTGGCCACGGAGGCGGTCTTGGAGAGTTGAACGTGGTACGCTAAAAATACGCGCTAGCGCACGAATTAAAGAGATTTCTTGATTCTTAAAAGCCTGGATAGCTAGTGAGATCCCACCCTCTTGCTCTTTTGAATTTCGAGAGGATTAAGTACGAATTGGTAGCATGGTGGGTGGTTGAACTAAACAAGATCTAGTTCGTGGACGCGTTTTGGTTGGGGTGGCCGGCTCGCTTGGGTGGCCGGCTCGCTTATGAAATACGTTAAGGCATCAACCCTAAAAAATCAGGCATTCAACCTTTGGCCGCTCTGCCCCTTCGCAGGTGTAAACATGAGGCCCTGATATCCGTTAGTTACCACACACTCCTAAGTGATTGCTCCGTACAGACGAAAGCTTGTTTCAGAGATCCACTATCTCCTCCAATTCAATGTCCCAGCCTTTCGCCTTCCACGTCAATTTGGATGAAGCTCCAGCCATGGTCAATTCGAGTCTGGACAAGACTCCCTCGTTTATCCCTCTATGGTAACTCCCGTATAAGCATCCGAAATCTGTCCGCTTCTTCACAACCTCAGCACCGGCCTCTTATTGTCCTCGAAAATGCCACCCTGGACACCTTCAAGCAGCGATGTTTCCTCCCCGAACAGCCTGCAGTTCTCCCGCCCTCTACTTTCAAAGACCTCCCGGCCCTGAAAAAATGGTTCAAAAGCGCGAGTCCCAAGTCAACACCGGGCCCTTCGAGCGCAAGCCTGAACGTGGAGCATCTCTACAAACACGGCGTTGACACCTTCGTCCCACTTGAACTCACGGAATCTACGTCGACAGACGCTAAATTTGAAACTGACAGCGGGAAAACTGAAACGCATAGCTTCCGGCAATTCCACGCGCCGCTCACGCTGTTCCTCGACTGGATGCGCACGGCTGAGACCACTCACCAATCAACGCGGCTCTACCTAGCACAATGCCAGCTCCTAGACCTCCCACCCGTGCTCCGAGAAGATTTTCCGACACCAGAGCTTGTGGCGCGCGCGGGAAAGGGCGATATATATGATACGAATGTGTGGATTGGGCACCCCCCCACTTACACGCCGCTCCACCGCGATCCGAACCCGAACTTGTTTGTCCAAATGGCTGGGAAGAAGGTTGTGCGGCTGCTTGCGCCTGTAGATGGACAGGCTGTGTTTGGGGCCGTGAGGAGGCAGCTTGGAAAGAGTGGGAGTCCAGAGGCAGCGGCTTTCCGAGGCGAGGAGATGATGCAGGGGAGGGAGAGGGCGTTGTTAGATGAGATGGTTTGGGGGACTCAGGTGTCTACTGGTTCGGATGCTGGGGTTGGCTTTGAAGCGCACCTTGAGGCTGGTGATGGGGTGTTCATTCCTAAGGGGTGGTGGCATAGCATTAAGGGTGTTGGTGAAGGTGTTACAGCTTCGGTGAGTATGGTTTCTTTCGTAGGGATTGGGTGTGTCGCTGATATACTTGCAGGTCAACTGGTGGTTTCGATAGTTTGAATTCTAGTCCGACGTCAATGCAGCAGGCATGTCCGTGCACCGGACTCCGATTTTCGGTCGGCTCTAGGTTAGAATGAACCCGGTTGAGCGAAGGGGCATAGAATCGGGGGTTATCTGCTTCAAAAGGTCGTGGAGAATCTTCCAGGCAAGATCTTTCAAACCTTTGAAACCGCTGGGAACAAATGCCAATAACTGGTGGTGCCAAATAGTAGTTCTCAGATTGAATGTTTACTTCTAAAAGAGAGGATTCAACGCAGGCTCGGGAGGGTTTGTTCTGGCCGACTCAAGACGTGATAGAACAGATACCCGTAGACACACCCGGGGCCTTCTATCAACTGTGTGAGCTTGGTCTCGCAGACAGAATCGAAGATTGTCTACAACATATTCAGTATAGAACTTGGTTATATAGATACTCCGTAATCAATAATTGTGTAGAGCTCAGATATAGCACCGGTGCAACGTGGAGAATCCCTGATTATGCATAGAAAAATCCTCTGCACAGTTAATTCTTTTAACCGCCTTCACATACACATAAAAAGACATCCAAAAAACGACATCACAAGGTCGCATGAGCGGCCCGCTATTCTTACATGTAATGTGACTTGAAGTGTCGGATCGGGACCCATCTCCGCCATCTCTACGTTTCTCCCTCCACAAAGCCGAACCTCCCCTTAAACTCCGAACCATGCAAGTATCGCACACAGTGTACCGCGCCGCTCTCCTGCACCTATCCGTCAATTCCTTCGTGCGCGCCTCAATCCCAGCTGGTACTACCACCTGGACATCCCTCAACGCAGCAACCCAAGCACCAAACACCCGGCTCTACAGCATCCTCTTTCCGCAGTGCACAACCACCTCTAAAGCATCAGACTGCACGCGCCCAGTACGCACAATGTGCGAATCAAGCTCGAACTCCGACTCCGCAGCCGCTGCATCCTCAAATCCGGCCACCCAAAACGAAGATATCCAGAACCAAGAGTCACAAGAACTACAACCAGAACCCAAAAAGCAACTCTACCTCCCCGCTAGCGACTCCGAAAATCCCATTGCGAACGATCAAGGTGGTGGGAGCATTAAACTCGACATGAGCAGAGGCGGAACGGAGATGAAATTGGATCATTTGGGTCCGATGGTTGTTAACGTGGATGGAACGTTGTCGCAAATTGGGAACTGGCAGCAGATGACAGAGATTGAGAAGAAGAATACTCTCCGCGTCCTTGGGAAGCGGAATCAGAAGCGGTTGGAGGCTTTGAGGGCCAAGGAGAAGGCGGAGGAAGGGTCAGAATGAAAAGATCCAATTTGGAGAGCTTTGCTTGGATTTGTGCGTGTTTATAGATGGTGCAAGACTTCTTACTGTTCGGTATGTATTGATATCGAATAATTGTACTATTCAAGGCATTGTTACATGTTGTTGGATGTCAAGTATGACTGCTAATTGCGGCTATTCTTTTTTCAAAAGAATAGGAATTTTCCATTAGCCATATTGGGTATCATAGCGATGCTAACACCACAAAAATGTGCAGTAAACAGTCCACAGTAACAACGTCGAATGAATAACGTCGGGTATACACAGGTCTGGGGTCACTTAAGCGAGTTCTAACCTTGGGTAAATCACAAGTATCTAAGCTGACGATGAGACTCATGAGATTTTCATTCAAAGATCACTCGGAACAATTTGTGTAGGACAGTCCTATGGGCGCTGTTAGCATCTAATCACAACCTGAAGATAAAGTATGCTCACTTTGGGGGTGTGACCACAATGTCTCTAGTATATTCCTCGATCTCAGGGACACCAGTGACCAGATCGACCTCCTCAGGCTTGAGGAACTTGGTCCCGTGGAAGAATTTCCACCCAAAGTAGATGACCGGGAAGACGCCGATCATAGTATAGGAGAAGAGGAATGTCGGGATGGACCAGTTGCCAGGGAGGAAGACGGTATAGCCACCGACGAAAGCCATGACCGTAGTGCAGATGCAAGCGAAGTAGGCGAGGTACGGTTGGAACCAGCTGCGGTATGGCAAGGTTTTCCTGGAAATCCCTTGGGCCGCGAGAGCTTTCTTGAAACGGATGAAGGTGAAAGTGACGACGGAGAAGTTGATGAGCTGGGAGGCGGTGACCTGGATCTGGGATTAGTTGGATATATAGGGGAAGAAATCGGGACTAGGGAGAGGACTCATACCAGATTAACAAACCAGTTTAGCACGACTGATGCGCTGTTGGATACCTGCAGGAAACTCAAGAGGCCGATGACGAGCACACTACCGACACAGTAGATAGGAACACCGTTGTTGGTGCACTTGGTAAGGAAATTCGGGGCTTTGCCCTCAAGAGCTAGACCGTACAGACTGCGACTGGCACAGTACATGTAACTGTTACCTGCGCTGAACGAAGCTGTGAGAATGACGGCGTTGACGATGCCTGGCAGGATGGGGATCTTTAGGCGATCCATGGAGATGACATAGGGCGAGGCAGCGGCACCGGGCTTGTCATTGTCGAACGCATCCGCCATGGTTTCATCGTTGTACGGGACAAGAATGCCGATGCAGAGAACACCCAGAATAAAGAATGCCGTGAGACGGTAGAAAACACCGTTGAAAGCCTTCGGCAGCACCTTGCGCGGGTTCACGGTCTCACCAGCGGCCATGGAGACATAGTCTGGACCGGCGATGGTGAAACTGGCTGTGATGACAGCTGCCAGGACACCGAGGAACTTGCCGGTATCGCCTGTCTTGTAGTACTCGTTGAAGGCACCTGGCTCGTTCCAGTAGCGGAAGCCAAACCGATCGCCGAGCGGGTTGCCGCCCAGCATGACGATGAATGTGTATAAAATCAGGCCTAAGCTCAAGAAGACCTTGCCCAGTGAAAGCCAGAACTCTGATTCACCGTACCATTTCACGGCAAAGAGATTCAGTGCTCTGTTTCTTGTTTAGTAGTCAGGATCTCACGCTCAGATTTTAAATAACGACTAACCCATAGAGTACAATGACAACCACATTCATGGCTGCGACAGGAATCGCATCGGTCCAGTACCTAATAATCAAGCTGACAGCGACAATCTCGAATGGTACTAGGGCTGCCTCGAAAATAAAGAAGTTGTACCCAGCGGCAACACCTAAAGCTTCATCGACGTAGCGGCCAGCAAATCGAATAAACGGTGAAGAGATGGGCAGGTATGTGACCATTTCAGCCAAGCCTAGAAAGGGAAGTGTGAGTTTGAATGTCACACCACGCACCCAGATGAGGAAACGAAACGGGAGGAACGATATAATAGTTTGGCGATTGATCGATGTTAGGGCAAGAAGCGGAACCGTTGGCGCATTTGGGATCATGGGATCATATGGGATACAGTTCCAGACATGGGAGGAATACAGCAGGTGGGAAAGATGCAAAGGGCTTGGGAAAAATGGGGGTGTTCGTACAAACGGTGATAATCAAAATCACACAACTCCTAGAGAACAGTATAAGATTGCGAACCTTCAATGAGATATATGCAGGAAGCAGGCGAGAGCATCATGCACTAGGTTGGGATCCTGGGTGTCCGACTGGCTTTTCGTCAGATTCATGGGGAGACATCGGGTTAATGGCACTTTAGTCGACATTCATACACCTGTTTGGCACGAAGTGCCTAGGCTAACGTCCTACATCCTTGGGATCTGAAATGTGGAATCGGGCTTCGAAACCTGTTTCGTGATGCTTTGTTTGGTCGTATGCTTCCTAGTTATATGCTTTATCCTTTTGGGGGGCTTCTTTTTCCTCTTTTTCTTCTTCTTGCATTTTCACTCACTTGGCGTCGTTGATGCTGTCGAAGGTAGCATAGTCGAGACAACCCAGGTTGAGAACCCAACCGAGTCAACAGAACAATACAAGGAAAATACTAACCAAAGACTGAATCCAATGAGCAAACTAGCGGGGCCACTGGTCCGTAATCCAGACCCGATCTGAACGTATAGTGCCGTACCAATTGTTCCCCCAATTCCAATCAATTGCACATGACGGGGCTTGAGCTTGCGATGGGTATGGTCGTATGTGGATTCCATTGGTTCGCTATCGACCGATGGCGCGCGATTGGCGCTGGATGAGTCCTTCTCGGTGACTTCCATCCCTTTGTTCATCTTTCTAGGGTTTGATTCTGAATCAGAGAGGCGAGGAGGTTCTGCGCTCTGTATGACGGCGGTCACTGGGGTATGAGAGCCATACTTCGAGTTTGGAGAATGAGGCATCTTGGAGATCTCTCTATTTCCAGGAAAGAGCGAAGCAACGGCATAAACAAGTGCGCTAAGGGATCTAGGTCTAGAAAAAAAAAGGAGAACAAAAGCAGAATTAAGAAAGCCGGCAGGAATGAAAGATTTATTTTTAGGGTAGTATTTTTCCTGTTTCATCCCCACATGCCCCTCTTTGGGGGAAGGGGAGGGGGGAAGATTGGGGCTGACCACTCTATGCGCCCACTAGATTGAACACTTTGATCTGTAGAGACACCGAATCAAGAGGGCATTGTTTGCGGTGATCACGCGATACATCTGACGGTGTCAAAAATTGCTGGCAACCCATTTTCCGGACGTTCAAGTAGATTTGAGACTGTGCTAGTCCGATCCCACGTGGAGAGAAATAGTTACCGAGGTCCAAGGAGGTGGTTTGGAGGTGGTTTTCATATAGAAAAATTCAAAGGCATTGTGGGAGCAAACCAGGCCACCGATCTGAACATAATAAGCTAAGCTGACATTAAATCCAAAAGGAATCCCTGTGATTGACACACAATTCCACTGTGTTCATGTTCTTTCCTTGTAGGCACTAGTGTTGGTGTCTCTGTCCTCGAAGTTGCTCGAGTTTTCGGTCGAGGGTCTTTGCTGTGAGTCTTTTCCAATCCAAATTGGTGGAAAGAAGCCATCGTTGTCTTCAAAATAAAGGTAGTGGATCACATCAGAGTGTGTGAAGGTCCGGCACTGATCCAGGTCTTCATGCGCGAGATGTTCGTTACCCGAACTTGGATGTGACTGCATGTGCGACATTTCGAAGAATCGTATGCTACTGTGCGAGAGCTAAGTCGAAAAAAAAGGGCCATCCAGTAGTTGACATTGTGAAACTGGGAAGATTAGGTGCACCTGTCTCCGAGGTGTTGTCTTGACGTCAGAGATTTCTCCATCATTCATAATGTCTCTCCATAGGCAGGTTTCCGTTTACCCAAAAAAGGACCTCGTTGATGGTCTTATCCCCAATGTATTACGATTGGGTGAAATCTGGAAGATCATTTGTATTAAATATCAAACAAAGCTAGGGGGTGAACCCATCTGTAATTGATATAGACCAGGGAAATTAAATCCTTCTATAGTTCTGCACAAACTGTACCTATGGCGATTTCAATTAAAACAATCGAGAAGAGTCGCACTTGCAGCCTTGTCACGTCTTTTCGGTAGTCAATTTTTTTAACCATATCTTCCTTCTGTTTAGATTTTTCTAGACAGACGCTTTAAAGGTGCAGATAACTACTGGATTCTTTGAAAAGGAACAAGCTCAAGTGGAGTAGCCGATCAGTCGGAACCTGAAGCCCGCGACCACCGACCTCGGGTAACCCCGCCAAACCCCAATATCTTTTTTTCCCCCTCAACTTCACCAACCACCACCATGGTCCAACAAGACGAATCTAAGCGTTTCACACCTAAGGTGCCAGTCGAGCTTGACCCGCCTAAGGATGACCCTATTTCCGCCGAGGAATTGGCCAAATGTGACGGTATGAGAGTTTTACTATGCGCCCAGCTCAAAGATCATTGCTAATGTCCACTGAACTGCAGGTACCGACCCTAGCCGCCCGACTCTGGTCGCCATCAAGGGTGTTGTCTTTGATGTGAGCCGGAATTCAGCTTATGGTGCCTCGGGTTCCTATCGGGGTGAGCACAACATCAATTTTTTTTTTAAAGAAAAAGCATGATGAACAATCACACCAACTGTCCTTTTCTTCTAGTCTTCGCCGGCAAGGATGCCTCCCGTGCTCTTGCCTCATCCTCTCTGAAGCCTGAAGACTGTGTACCTCAGTGGTATGACCTCCCGGACAAGGAAAAGACCGTCTTGGATGAGTGGTATACGTTTTTTAGCAAGCGGTATAATATTGTTGGCAAGGTGGAAGGCGCCAAGAACACTTAACGGCTACATCACCACGGAGCAGCAGCCCTCACATGGACCGAACGTGCGACATTTTATACCCAGTAAGAGACATGGATCAACAATCCAGTATCATAGAACAAATCCGTGCTTTTCATTTTCGAAATGGTGGTATCGTGTGGGTACAAAGAACAGTTCCTCTCTCTGACTGCTGGGATAAACAATGCCTATACATTAAACAAGTAACTTGTAACATTTTCACGCCTTCAATTCCCCTTACGGGACTTCCGCTTCATACGCTTCTGTCCGATAATGCGGTTGCGCTTAGCAGCCTTGTCCTCGTCTTCATTGGTTTTCTCATCTCTGGGATCCTTTCCATTTCCAGTCTTGCCACGCTTTGCGTCCCTTCCATCCTTTCCTTTACCACCACGGGTATCGGAGCGCTTCCTCTTTTGACCTCTATCTCCATCACCCTCAGCATCGTCCGAGCGTTTAGGTCTAGGCTCGCGGGATTTAGCCTGTAGCTCATTGCGGCGTTTAACAACCTGGGCGTTCTCGATGGCAAACTCAACGACGAGGCTCTTCTTCTTGTCCCGGTCATTGGGATCTTGGGCAGAAGGAGGAACTGCCAGGGAGTGGCAGTTCAGCCAACGCAAACTCATCAGCGCGTGCCGGTGAGTGAAGAACTCGATGAATCCGTAGCCACGACTGCGACCACCACCAGTCTTCTCAGAGACCTTGGTACCCTCGCGAGTCTCGAAGACAACCTTGGCTTGGCGTACAATACCCATCTTCTTCTGTTTGCGCAGCTGCTCCAGCTCCTTCATCGTATCGCGGGATCTTTGCTGCTCCTCCTTTGAGAGCGGGTGGCGCGCGCCCGCCTTCACATCCTTGGCGAAGTTGACAACGGACTCTCGGGCAAGCTGCTTCAAGTCCTTGGAGTTGATGTGGCGGGGAAGATTACGAATGGCGAGACGGGTGAGACTGAGATGGAGAGCTGGGTTCTTCTTGATAAAGGTCTCGCGCTGCTTGTAGCTGTCCTCACGCATCTTGATTTCGGAGGGCGCGAGCTTCTTATACAGCGGGGAGTTGGAGGGGATCGTACCCTCGTTGAGAAGGTACAGGCGGCGCTTATCTGTGTCACGGACCATGCGACGTGATACTCCCTCCTCTTCGAGCTTGGCGGCTTGGCCCTTGCTCACAGCCCGTGCGACTTGTAGGACGCGGCCTTCCAGGGTGTAGCGCCCGCTTGGGTCGGAGTTTTCATCTTGGAGAACGGAGTGCTTCATGGCGGTGTTTGACTTAGGCTTATCCTTGTTAGGGGCCATGGATTCGGCTCCTCGGGGGGCTTCACGAATACATGTGTTGGCGTCCTCGGGTTTCCAGAAGCAGACGAACCCAGTGCCTCGAGGGCGCTCGGTCTCGTAGTCCAGAACCACACGTGCGTACCGTAGCGGCCCAAAGTGAGTTTTGAAGTGGTCGTAGAGGGCTTGGTCTGTGGCGGAGAAGGGGAGGTTGCGAATGAAGATTGTTGTGGCATTTCGGTCATCCTCCTCCTCTGCCTCGTCATCGTCCAACTCGTCTAGCTCATCGAGATCATCGTCCTCATCGTCATCTTCATCGGAAGAGGTTTCGTCGTCCGAGGGCTCTTCCAGAATACCCTCAGCATCTTCCATTTCAACATTATCAGACTCCTGCTCTTCCCTCTGCCCCTCCTCCTCGGCGTCTTCCTTCTTGATAGTTTCCCAAACGTCCTTCTCAACAGCCCAATCAACAGCTATTTGACGTCCATCGATCTCCTTTCCGTTGATCATCTGGAGCGCTTTCTCGGCATTCTTCCTGCCACGCATGGTAACGAAACCGAAACCAGAAAGTTTTCCATTCCTCTTGGGGAGAGTAACAAACTTGACTTTTCCAAAGCTGCGGAACAGGACATTCAGATCCTCGGGCTCCTTGACACTCCACGGCAGATTGCGAACAATCAACTTCGGTGGCAGGCCCTGTCCTCTCTCCTCTTCCTTCTGCTTCTTGGACTCGCGGGACGCAGCAGTTGGGACACTGCGTCCAATCTTCTCATCGATCTCACGCTTACGAGACTCGGCATAGTCGACGCGAATGATTTTCCCATCAAACTTGGACCCGTTGAATTCCTTCAAAGCGCTCTCTGCATCCTCAACATCGGCGAATGTAACAAAACCAAATCCCTTGGATACCTTTGTCTCTTTATCACTGACAACAACAGCGTGCTTGATAATGTAGGATTGTGAGAAATGTTCTGCCAGGCTCTCTGTCGTGGCTGAGGTGGGTAGTGAGCGGACGAAAAGAGTTCTCTTGTTCTGTGCGGCTGAGGCCTCGGCAGCGGGCGTTGTGGCCTCGACTTTAGTTTCGGGGCTCTCAGCGTCGGAGAGACGTCGTTTCTTGTGTAATTCGACCATGATGACCTTGTTGCGACTGCGGCTTTTTTTTTTCTGCGGTCGAGGAAGAACAAAAAAATTAGCGGCAGAAAATTGAGATAGATTGGTCCGGGCGGTGTGTGGGTCCCGTCCAGATAAGCCATGCCATAGCTTAATCGACTTGTCAACAACTTTCCAATGATCATTCTGCTATTGACAATTTTGGAACAACACATAGGGGGAAGAGATGGATTCCACACTCCCGGAGAGAGGTATTTCCTCTCGCTCTTCAGAATCTCCAGCTGCAGCTGCAGCTTCAAGACCGAAAGTCCAACAGCCGAAACCTCAAGCTCTCTCCAACCGCCCTGGTACTTCCGCGATCCTGGTATCCACGCGACAAAAGGGCAACCCAATCTTGACCCACATAAAGCTTTTACCCTGGGAGTATGCCGATATTCCCGCAGACTATGTAGTCGGCACCACAACGTGCGCAATGTTTCTCTCCTTGAAATACCATCGCCTACACCCTGAATATATCTACTCTCGAGTGAAACAACTGGCAGGCAAGTACAACCTCCGGCTTGTACTGGTAATGGTCGACATACAAGACCACGAAGATAGTCTCAAGGAGCTGTCCAAAACATCTATTATCAACAATCTGACCTTGATATTGTGTTGGTCTGCACCAGAGGCTGCGCATTATCTCGAGCTCTTCAAGTCCTCAGAGAACGCACAGCCCACCGCCATTCGAGCCCAGCAGGCCCAAACCTACAAGGAGTCGCTGGTGGAATTTGTCACAGTTCCCAGGAGTATCAACAAGTCTGACGCCGCGAGTTTGATATCCACCTTCGGCAGCTTGCAAAATGCTATCAATGCACAACCAGAGCTAATTAGCGCCGTGCCCGGTTGGGGGGAGAAAAAGGTCCAGCAATGGTGTCACACAGTTCGAGAAGATTTCAGAGTCGAGAGCACGAAGAGGGTTTCTGTTCCTGTCACACAACGCCGGGCTCAACTATCAGCCGTGAAAGTGTATGATAGAAACAATCAAAATACAGATGAAGAGGATGAAGAAGAGGCAATTCTTCGTGAAGTTCTAGCGGAAAGCAAAAAGACAGCTGCTGCAGAAGCTGCGCGGCTGACTGAGCCTCAGGCTGGAGGTCAACCAAGTGAAGAGATGAGTGAAGGTATCGCAGCGGCACTTGCTAGACTCAGAGACAATGCTGGCTGACCGATGACCTGGCTTTTCATCACTACACATCCATTATTGAAATTTCCCAAATTCTAAAGATGGGCCTTATTCTCATCTACCCGACTGTTGACTACGGCGCGCTTTTCTTTTTTTTTTTTGTCAAATGGCCATCAACCCAGGACCATGGGGACGCAAGGGCATCGTGGCTGGCATTCTTACACATAGCATCCCCAGCTTGAACGAGCTTGGATACCTCATTGTCGTGATAAGTCTCTTTTGTCCGAGGCATACAGCTCAAACCCATACCCCCAGCTAGTTGTCTAAATTACCCCGCAAGTTTGCGAGAACCAACCCTTCTCGTGTAGCTGAGCATAATTCCCTTTCGGTGTCTAAGGGTTCAACGTTGTCGTCTGATTTGTCTCACAGGTGACCTTGGGATATGCCGATCATCATGAACATCCTTCCTTTTCGGCTAACCTAGGATCTTTTCCATGTGTCTCCTCATTATTTGCAGCCTCGCTGCCTTTCGCTGGTGGGAACTGATTACCTTTCTTAAACTGAGCTCTCTTTCTGTGCCATTGTGCCCTCCCATGGTAATCCTATTTTGATCTCAAGTCCATCTGCAGCTACTGCCTTCTTCAAATGCCAAGTTCCCCTCTCGTTATCAATTTCCGCCCTCTCTTTCCAAGAATTTTTCTTTCTCTTTTTTCTTGCTGAGTGATTTTCTGCTTGTCTGTTCACTCAGGGTTAAGGTGATAAATCATTAGCAAAAGATTGGCTAGTTGTCCTACCCTACAATTCGGTGCTCTCTGTCAGGCCGAAACCTGACCCACCCTCAGCGAGTCAGCTTCCCCTCCAGAGATCCTAGCCTGATGCCTTCCAGATGGACCACTTTACTGATTTCCGACAGAAGGGAAAAT